GAGATCGTCCGTTCGCCCCCGCTGTCGCCGTGTCAGAAGGGGTGGAAGGATAATCGAGGCGCGCCTTCTCCTTTGAACCTGCTTAAATCGGATTAACTTGGATCATTAGCTTGCTTATCGGCTCTGATGAATTTTATTAAGCCTCCTCGCGAGAGGAGGATCTTCAACCGGATGAAGGTTTCAGGGAGGGGAAGGGATCGAGATGAACGTTTCAATTTTTTTCTTTTTTTTTTTAACCCGTTACTGTGCTGCGCATGCTTATTTTGTAATGTAACTTTTTGCATTATTTCTGTCTCGGGGACGATGAACGTTTATCGTATTATAACGTTTAAAGAGATAGGGACAGAGCTATTGAATGTGAAAGAAGATGAAAAGAAATCGATGTACGAAAGTTAGATTAATTAGATTTCGAATGTTACAATGTGGTTTCTTAAAAAATCAATAGTGTCGATATTGCTCGATTAATGGAATTTTCGAAAGGAGGAAAAAGTCGAAGAAGGGAATATCGATCATCTTCTTGGCGGAAGATGTTACGCGTGGAATGGATATTGACGAGGAACGAAAAGTGTGTAGATGGATGCGTGTTCGAAAAGGAAATGTAGGCCGACGACTCGGGAAGACGTTACTTGGAAAAACACGGAGCTTCCTCAAACACTTAACTCGGGATGTTACGATTGTTTTCAGAGAGGCGTGCTACTGTTTGCACAGCCTAATCGAAAAATCATAAGCAGTTCCCCCTCCCCCGTTTCGAGGGTTGTTTTTAGCGGGAAAGATCTAGGAGGAACACGATACTCGATTTGCGGCTGTTTGCTGTGGACGGATGTGTTCCGTAAAATGAATCTTTGGACAACTGTGATTAGCTGTGAGTGGAAAGAATACGAATGATTCTTATCTCGTGGCGATAAACTATATAAAACTATATAAATTTTATAAATGATTCGTTTAAAATTCGTCGAAAATTGGAAAATTTGATTCGATTATTTTCACAATTATTTATGAGAAAATCTTTCTAATTTTACATATTTCGATGATAAAAGTATAATTATTCTCTAATGCTTTTATCAGCCATTTCTAAAAATCTCTAAATTTGTCCAACGATTAAAAAAACAAATTAAATTTGTATCGGTTCGATGTGAAAATTGCACGTCAATTTAAATGATTCAGGATGGTTCAAATTAGAGCGATATATACAAATACATGCTAACACGCACGTCCTCTTATTGACTGAATATCGATTTGTACAATTTCGTTTGGTTTGGGATTAAAATTAGATTAACGATATCAAGCTCGGCAATTGAGATAATTCATTGAAATATTCGATGAGCACTTTTCGTTTCGTCGCGTTACGAGTTTCTTCTGCTTATGATCGATTAAACATCTCTCTCTGCTCGACTATTTTTCAGAATCATTGGCAATCTGCCCGTAGGTAGGGATAACGCGGCTTCGAATAAACAAACTCGAGCTTGTATATAGTATATCGTTTATAAACTTTCTTAATCCGATATATCAAACCAGAGAAAAATATATTTCGTGCTATCATCGCTCATTCGTCTAAAAATTTAACGAGAAATATAAAATTAGAATCTTATTTCCAAATAACTTAATTTTCCTCGAGTTTTTTCTAGAAATCGATCGACGAATCCTCCAATTTCGTGACACGTTACTCGTAAAATAAATCGGTTGATAAAATCGGTAAAATTTCTGCGATGATTCAATCAATGTCCCAGTGGCGATCGAATTAAGAAAATGACACCGCCAAAAAAATTTCTTTAAAAATACGTACCAAATAGATACCACCAGGACATTGAAAGATGAAAGAAAACGAAATCTACGAATTAACGAAGTAACCAGCGAGGAATCGGTGGAGGATCGAAGGCAAATCGCAAAGATCCGATTTGGAAATTTGGAGTGTCAATCGAGGTACCCGTGCACAACTGTTTAGCTGTCCGCAAACCGCAGATTTAAATGGAGTTACGAATAGCCAGATCTGACCGATCCCTAATTATCTTGACGTCGACCGAGAGAACGGGTAGAAATTCTTGGAGAGAAGACGAATGAGCGGGAAGTTCGTAATTTGGAAATCGCGTCGATTAGTTCGATTATTCTTGCCACGAGAAAATATACGCGACGAGAGGAAATAATTAAATAATTTTTATTCGAAAGTTTCGTTTAGTAAAAAGAATAAAAGATTGTAATCGAAATACTTGATACTTTTTCTTGTAAAATCACTTGAAATGTATCTCAGTCGGAAGCGGGACGTCGGATAATGTTTAACGTTTAACAGAATCGAGAGATAAATATTCTCGTTGTTTAAAAGAAATCGTAAGGTAATGGACCAATTGAAGAATTGAAGAAACGATACGATCAGATTTGCTCGAATGGAACATTAAATTTATTAGCGAGAATTTAAAAAAAAAGGAGAAGGAAAAAAAAGGAGAAGTAGATAGATGTATTTCTATAGAATTAATGATTGTGGCTACTATGTATATACAGCGAAATTAAAATACGACCGGTGTGTTTCCGAAGTGGGAATAAGAGAAACACGTTAATGACTTTCTAAAATATATTCAATGTATTCAATGGTTCGACATGCTTTTATAAATGAGATAATCTTTAATGTTCTTTCATGCTTGATTTACTGTCTGACATTATCTGTACATGTGATCTTTCACTGTTTGACCAGTATAAAACGTTGATTAGAGAACGAAGTACCGGGATCGTGTTAGAAAAAAAAGAAAAAAAAAAAAAAAAAAGAAAAGAATANAATACCTACTACT